AGAATACTGTCTTCTCAACCCGTTAGCGCTGCAGGTCGACTCTAGAGGATCCCACAGGAGCTCCGTTGGAAAGAGAAGGCGATGATGGTGGGATAAAGAAATGATGAAAAGGGGGAACTGGCTGGTAGTGTGCTCGTACATGCTAGAGTATGTTCCGAAGGTGTCAGATTAAAAAAAAATCTATATGAAAGGATCAGGGGGGAAATGGGGTATATAAAAAATGCAAGCCTGTTAAGTACGAAAGACAAATTTTCCTTTTCCCCTTTCTTTTGTCCCCTGTTCGTTTTCATGCCCATATTTCATCTAAGGGGTGGTGTAATTTGGTGGTGGTTGGGTTTCAATTTTATTTTATTTTTATTATTATTGTTCATATCAAAACCCATTTCTTATCCGCTTCTTTCTGGCCCAGTCTTTGCGCGGTGGAGTTGAGGGTGTCTTTGATGATGTCCTTGGACACTTTCGGGAATCTGCCAGTTCTTGTTAGTGAGGGTTTCTTGTCTTTTTATATCTTATCTTTTTTTTTTTTTTTTTTTTTTTTTAAAAAAAAAAAAGGTTTTCTTCAGATAAATAGTTCTGACGATTTCTCCCCATCTATTTTCCTCCAAAGGAGAAGACAAAAGAAATACAAGGCGCACAAAAAAAGCTAAAAACATACCGCTTCTTCAACACCTCAATCAACCCCGCCTTCGTTAAATTGCTTCCCGCAATGGCCTGTTTAAATTCTGCTACTTGATCCGGTGGGAATGCACGTCGTGGCTTCTGAGATGGTGCTGCAGCGGGAAGAAGCTTAGAATGTCCCGATGAAATTGTTGTGGTCAAGGTCGTTGAAGGAAGGGTGAAAGATGGTTGGAGTAATCCTGAGGATGGTGAGATTTGCTTCTGAGAAGGGCTGGCAATGGCGCCAGCTCGATCTGAGGACCGATTGGAAAGATGTGTAAGGTGTTTCAACGGCGAGCGGGATGTCTGGATAGGTTTACTCCAATACTCTGAAGAAAACGGGTCGATGGGGAAGTTCAAAGTTTCTGTTGGTTTGAATTTTAGCACAGTTTGTCAGTCCAGGGTCAGAAAGATGCGTTTCTCCAATTATCCGAATTCCTTACCTGATATAATCTCCATCCGACATGAACTCAGCATCGGATCGACATCGTCTTCACCCTCCCAATGTATCCCACTAGACACTGGCTCGAGATCACCGATAATAACCCTTCGCTTCCCGCCCGCAGTATCATCATCACCATCATCCAAGAAGTCTTCCATATCTCCATCTCCATCTTCACTAATTTCGTCTTCCCCTTCTGAGTCAAGGTCCTCGCCTTCCTCCGGCTCTTCCCACTCCGCTTCTGAATCATAATCATAATTAAAATCCGGAACCATCCGCCGAAATGGATTTCGACATAGTCGCTTGGCATCCCTTTCCGGTAGCCGCTTCGTAAAAGTCCCCTGGTAAGGTGGCCGCACATCCTCCCCAAACTTCAAAACTTTCATTGGGATCTTCTTCAGGAAGTCGCCAGGGGTTTGCGTTTTCTTATCTCCCGTCAAATTTATTGTGTTCGACCCAACACCTTGCATCCCAAGTAATATCTCTCTCACGGTGGGCCCTGTCGCTTTGCCTTGTCGACGTCTATAAGGTAGCACGTCAAACAACTCCGAAGGACATAATTTTTCAGGTGGTGCTTGCGCTTCAGACGTTTCTTCTTTCTTAAATAATGAATCGAGCTTCTCGCAAACATATTTGAGAGCGTTGATATCTCGTTCAAAACGATGTGGTGGCGCCAGTTTCACATGCGACTGCAAGAAAAAAAGGGGAAATTCTTGTTCGTAGTCCGAAGAAGGTTTCGTTTCCGCTTTCAACGTCTCAGAGCCACTGTCGGAGCTACAAACAGAATTAGAATTTCCCCCGGTCATTCCGCCAGCTACATTCACCGCCGACGTTGAATTAGAAGTCGTAGGCTTCGCAAAAAAAGCGTTCAAACGCATTTGCGACTTAAAAATGAGAAAAACAGTCAGCGAGGAGCCCGGGAATTGCAGAAATTCCAACACAGAATTATAGGGGGGAAATAAATAAATCAATAAATAAAATAAAATAAAATAAAATAAAGGGAAATATAAGACCTTACCCTCTCCTTCTTCATCCTCTCCTCATCCCTTCTCTTCTTTTCCTCCTCCCTGGCCAGCCGTTCCTCATCCTTCACTTTCTTCTTCTCCTCCCGCTTTCTCCTCTCCTCCTCTCTCTCCTCATCCCTCTTCTTCTTCTCCTCTTCCCTTTTCTTCCGTTCCTCTTCTCTCTTTCTCCTCTCTTCATCCTTCTTGGCCTTCTCCTCTGCCCGCTGCTTCTCCTTCATCTCCTTTTCCAGTGCCCTCACTTGCTTGCTGGTGGGAGATAGCTTTCGTTTCTTGCTGTTATTGGGTAAGGTAAACCCCGGGGTAGATACGGAGGCGGCAAGTGAGGGAGGAGGGGTTTGGTTCTGGGTATGGACGTGATCAATGTGATTAGGCGCGGGGATAGGAGTTGATATGGAAGGGTCAGAGGAGCCATTGCCATCGGCATGCGGTAGAGGAGGATCGACAGACGTAGAAGAGGTTGATGTTGACGTAGACAAAGTTTTAGTCGTAACAATGGGCTGGGGAACACCAGCGCTTTCGATGGACGGAAGTATTTCAGATTCCATCTTAGGGGTATTCGTAATAGTCGGCCCTTTAAAGTCATCATTCTGAACGACAGCTTCTGGTGCAACCATTCCACCTTGATCCTGGGAATTGGCGGTTTGTACGCAGCCATCCACGTCACTAAACGACCGCTTCCGTGACGATGCCGGGGAACTCATGGAGCCCGGCAGCGGTTCGCTGCCCATGGTGGTAGTCAAAATGTCGAAATGGTGTCGCTTGCGTTCTCCAAACTTAAATAAGACCGTATAGCGTACTGTGCCTGACTTTCACAAAGCGACGGTCAGTGAAGCAAATGTGAATGTAGTGTTGACACGGAAATGGCTCGGTGTTCTGACTCAGACAAGATTTGACACTGGAAGTAATCGAATAAAACGGGAGTTGTGGCGCATCGGCGTGCAGCTCAGAGCAATCGGGTTGAAGTTGTTCGAGTTGAAGTTGAACCAGAAATTCACGACGCGTTGATGGCTGATTTCGCGTCAAATTGGCGACAGTCAGGTGATATCGCTTCGAACTCGACTGGAGGCCATAGCAACTATAACATTAACAGCAAATAAAACAAAAGCATTTCTCAGTTGATTATTCGATAACAAGGTCTAAATTGATGGTGCATTCACTACTCAGACCTGTCATAGAATAGAAGGGCACATAAGGAGGAGCAGATCTATCTATATGTAGATCGAAATAATTTAACCCCCGCCCAAAAAATTACACTTGCACTAATATATTGATATAAACCAGAAGCATTATCATTAGAGATGGGTAGCTTTTCCTCTGACCCCAGGAGAGTGAATAATGATGAATGATGTAAAGCAATGAATACGACGAGGTCGCAATACCACTATGGGCGGCTTAAAAAAAGGACAATGTGGCTTGGATATCAAAAAGGGTGGGAAATGGGGTGGCGTCAGACGAAGCAGCAAAAACAAATTCGCAAACAAAATTCCGAACTTGTCTACGTTGAGGGTGCCTGAGAGATACCGAGTGGAAGTAAAGTTAGGGTCCCTCGTTGAGGACCGGGTGGAAGTAAAGAGCGCCGCTTGCGGGGAATTCGGGGGGAATGTTGCGTTTTTATCTAAAGGAGAAGAAAATTTTGATTTTTCACTCTTTCCTCATTGCAAATGCGGCCAGGTGCAAAAAAAGGCGTGAAGCAAAATAAAATAAAATAAATAAATAAATAACAATGCCCACTGGTATATAGGGAATAAAGAAACCCACGTGAAACTTACTTCAGGCAAGATGGATTAAGAGCGAGAGAATGAGACGAAATCACATTATGCCAGCCATACTCACTCGCAAAAAAAAAGGAAGAAAGAAACCAAGAAATAAAATTAGAAGAAAAAAAAAACTGATATATGCCCCTGCCCAGCTCCCCGCGTCTCCACCATCCAAATATGAAATGGGCATGGCACACTGGAGAGCAAGAAGCAAATAACACTGTCCACCATTTGCCTTCTCAGTCACTCAAGTCTGGATTCGCAACAAAAAGCCTCACATTGCTCATTCTAGTGGATCTATCATCCACACTCCCCCTCCGTTTAAGATCGTCGAGTTTTTTCCCTCTGCCCGCTGCAGCAGCGGCTCCGCTTGGCGCGCTCATCTCCGTAAGCGCACCGAAATCTTCTTCCAGGTCACTGGCGTCACTCTTCATGCTCGAAGCACGGTCAGATTTCGGCCTGTCCCCATTTGCCACTTCCAGTGACGACGATGCCGCTGCTGAGCCGTCATTAGCGCCAGCGAGACCTTTTTTGCTGTCAAAATAGGACTTCTCCTCGTCGAGTCCCAAAGGAGCGGGTGTCTCCACAATTTCAGGAATGTCAGTCTGTACCCGGTCTGCAGGGTCCATATTTGGCGGCGTGTTACTGTTACTACTGCTGCTAAATCGGCCCTGCTGAGGTCTCTGGTAACCACTAGGAAAGCGGCTGCTGCCTGTGGAACTCCGCCCGCTGCCCGTTCGGCGATGGAAGGCGGGTCCGTCGGTATCCTTATCATCTTCGGCGTCGCCAATCTCGTTAGCGCTTAGTCGAAGAGGTACGCCTGCACCAACCATGGTGCCCGTGTTATAGTTTATGGAGCGCGAGGAGGTATTGTGTCGTATTTTGCCGGTGCTGACCAGCGTGGCGCTCCGACCACCTCCGCCATTCACTTCTATGGCTGCCCTCTGCTTTGCCGCTCGTCTCTGCGCGACTACCCGCGGGTCTTCTTGCTGGGCACGGTCACACCATACAGTGGCTTTTTGTTTTCGCATGAGCGCGACGTAGCCAATAGGCGCATGACCGGAGCGTGATGAGGAGCTCCGCCGGACGTCAGCCTGGGGATTAGTTTGAGACCCATTTCCTCCAGTAGAAGTGGTAGATGTTGTCGCATTTGAGGGGGTTCGCGCTGGGTAATTAGGATTCATGGGCTGGGACTGCTTGCGCTGTTGGTGGTGGAAGGGAGGTGTCTGCTGTTGCTGGTGCATTTGGTTTGGGTAGTACGAGGAAGACGCGACCTGGGGCCGGTTTTGATATGATTGTGATCTCATTGTCTGGTGCTGACGATGTTGCGGGTCAGGAGAACCAGAGGAATGGAATTGTAGGCCGGCATTTCCAGGATTAACGGGTTTTCGGTGAGGGATTTGCAGCATCGGAGAACGATAATCAGCCATTTTTAATCCCCCGTTTTCTTTCTCTTCAACTATTACTCGATTGAGGGAATCTCATATAATTTCCCGAGAGTATTGTTTGTAAAAATGAAAAAATGCGAATTAGCGAAGCAAAAATTTCCGCGGATAGTGTTGATCCCCCGCTGGCAAACAAGCGTGAATTGTCGCTGGATTCAGGGAGGGGAGTTGATAGGCTGCCAACTGTTCTCGCGACTGGATCCAGTCAAACATCTATCTATCCCTACAGTCTGGAAGGGACAGCTTATCATGTCAGCATCGATATATTGGAAGACAGCGCCACAAACACCAGCAAGGAACGCCCATGAGTTTTGCAGACGACTGGGGAAAACACGAAGCTATATAAAAGAACACACACACCAGAACAGTTCGAGGGGCACTCAGACACTCAAGCAAGCAGTTTCAAATTCTCCAGAGCAAACAATGAACGGCAAAATATGCATGTGTTCCTCAAAAGTGGTTCTATCTCTCCATCCTGAAACTGACGGCGGCTCTGGTGTGTGGATGGTCGTGCAAAACAAACAAGCGGCTGTCGAAGGGGACTCGGGCAGTCGTTGGAGGGAGCGATGGGAGTAGAAATAGGTTTAGCTGCAGAAGATTCAGCCAGCCCGAGCAACAGCAGCGGAGGGATGTGATCAGGGGCGATTCGGGCGGACTAAGCGGACAAGCGGGTCCGAGGTTGACATTTGTCGAATTGGGTGGTGGAGATCTGGTGATCTGCTGGGCGACGAGAAGCGCGGCTGAGCCACAGCTGGAGTACCGCGGCCAAGGAACCTTCGCGCTCAGATTCTGTGGTGAGTGACCTGGTGTCGGGTATCTGTGGCTGGTGGTCCCGTCACGTTGCAGCCCTAGTCGTGGCTGAGGCGAGGTTTCTTTCTTCATTCACAACACCGTCAGAGCGAGCCAGTTGGCATTCATTGCTAGGTTACATTATTGCGTACATGACTTAGTCCATGCCATTGTTGGTTGACGCATTTACTTGTTCGCACTTTTGACAACGCATCATTGCAGCGTCTCTCTTCGAAAACCTCCCGGGATGACATGAAAAGCCTCTCTCATTCTCCCCGAGCCGGCACAAGCCTGAAAGCCCGGAGCCCAGAGCTGTGGCCAGCAATGGGAACAATGTGGTTAACATCTCATCCATCGGATGTGTCCTTCTCTTCTCCTTGGCCACGATTGAGGGTTGTCACTGGAGCCTACATAGTATCAACACAATAGGCCAAATGCCGGAAAACCCTTTTGGCGCCAAATCTGATTAACCCATGTATCGTGGGTGGACCAAAAAAAAAAATCATTCTCAGCATCTTCGAGCCCCTTGTTGACAAAATGATGTCTCAGACTAAGGTCCACTGGACCAGAGGGCTGCTGCAGGGCTGGCTCCACAGTTCGCGAATGAACAAAACGTCAACAAAAACAAAGAGGTCTGTTCGGATGTGGAATACAGGCCCTGCTTCCGTGCTTCCTATCAGGGTGGGCGGTTCCCATTCGACGTGCTGGATAGGTCAACTTACTATGTGCGGCAAAGCTGCGGGGTTATGTTAACTTGCGGTCTAATTTGCCGAGGGCGAGGCATATAGAAGCTGAAAGGGTTGGTTCTTTGGTTTAACCTCTGCTACCAGCAGGTTTTTTTTTTTTTTTTTTTTTTTTTTTTTTTTTTAATTCTAAACAATTTCCCGGGTTTTGCATCCGGACACAGGAACGAACAAATTCTTTTCACTCTCATTATCCATCATATTTCCTCCCAATGACGTCTTTTTTTCTCTCTCTCCAAAGCAATGACATTGACGGGGCTCGACGGCTTCGACATGGGTGGAGGATGCCTGTCATGATCCTTGCAAGCTTAATTTTTGGGTCACTTCAAGGGTTTTGTTGGAGGGTTTGGATTGGTTCGTCCCCTCTTATACCAGCATGGCGCTGGTGCTATCGAGCTCTTTTACCCAGTGGCCTCACAGTATCCCGTGTCTGGGTGAGGATACCGCATGATCTACAGGTCGATAAATGCACAATGAGCCAAAAGACACAACAAAACGGACTTTCCAACTGTGTAAGGACGTAAATAAATAAATATTCAGTCCGAGTGAGCATTTTGTTGATTACCGTGGCGAACAATAATAATGAAGTGACGCTGCAACAATCCCTGATGGATATCCTTGCATGAATTCAAACTTCCCCTAGTCTGCTCCTCTCGTTCTCCACGGTTACATGACTTTGTTTTGACAGCGTTGACTCTCTCACGCAGTTGTCTTTTCTTCATCATTTCTTTCAACGCCCGAACGAGGGCGCACAATGCAATCCTAGGAAGATAATACCCAGTGCCTTTCGTACAAACATGGGAAGCTTTACATAACAAAAACTATAACCTAGCTGTCCTCTCAGCTTTTGACTCTCGTTAACATTACATCCATCATTCATCAGTATTGTCGTTCTTGCCCCTCAATCTGCAACACTTTGCCCAGCCTCTCTCAGCTGAGAGCCTCATGGATTGGAGACAGTCGGAAGCTTGGGCCCACTTCTTGTGGGACCTGTTTGGTGTAACAAGCATTTTCTCGGATCAAGATGAATTGGCAACTCTGCTTAACCTATTCCGTACCACTAGTTACCAGGGGTTCAAAAATGGGGGAGAGGAAAATCCTGATCTCCCTTGATTTTCCCATCCTACTACTGTCCAATACATGCCCTTCAAACCTTTAATTGAATGTGATTCTCTAAACGCCATTGAATGATTCGTCCGGCTAAAATTGATCCATTATCTATTCCCATAGACATCTGGCCGGACATGTCTGGCTCAGGCAACCTGGCAGCGAGATTGCCCACTTTTTTGGAAAGATGATGACCGCCAAAACTCAACGGCGTGGGAACTATGGGGTGGTGAAGCGAGACCGATAGATAGCTTCCCGTCACTGTGTTGCGGGATGGACTTACTTCTTAACCTCATCGGCGTGAACAGTCATGTTATCATCCAACGCGAGGCGTGGCATTGGCTCTGGCGCATTTCTCCGTGACCTCAGAAATGCTTCGCGCGCCTCCCAGGTCTGAGAACGTGATTCGGGAGAATTTGAGTGCAAATATGAGTCGGTTGCGGTGTTGTGCTGTACGGTATTTATAAGGTCATATGCATACATGAATTCTTTCCCCCTGTTTGTAGCGACAGAATGTCAACGATTGCTGTTTGGAGTAGTAACACCGGCAGCAAATCCATGCAAAGACTCAAAAGAAATGTCATTCTGCTAAAGAGCATCATTTTAGTGACGCAGGTGGTCCAGTAGCTCCCGCTCGGCAAACTGACGACGGCCATTCAGATAGCCGTACCTAAAAAGGATGCTCCGGCAGGGATCGCAATGGCCGTGTTTGGAGGTCGTCTGTCCTCGTCAGTCTTTATATCCATTGGTGAAAATATGTTAGCCACCCAGCTGGTGAGCATGTTTCTAAGTTGACCCGCGCCTCTCGATCCGAGCTTCATTCATTCAAGCAGTGCGACGACGCTGCTCCATCGGCTTCCAGTGGATCATCTGTTGAGGGGGACTCGTAGTTTACTGTACAATGAGTCGCTACAGGCCGTTCTCCAGATCGGGCTGTCCCTGTCATGTATCTGTGTTCCCAGCGCATGCGCATCAGAGGGGAAAAGCGTTGCACCATCTTGGGCTAAGGACAGCTCTGATGGAGACGCCACTGAAAAGGGAGGGAATTCATCCAAACAGGGGAAATGGGCTAGGGTGTTACATTTAGGAATTGTTTTCTGAGAGAAGATGAGTGTGTCAGATAAACGGTTTGTTTGTTTCTCCTCTGCCATCTCTGCTTCTCTATGTTCTTCTCTGGGGAACATTGAATGAAGGTGTCCTGAGCCTCGGAGTCAGGATGAAGTAACAGAGCTACATCGAGAGTGTTTTGACAGCAGTCTGCCAACTGATTTGAATGAGAAAGTTGGTTTATTGGAGCTTACCAGTGTAGACAGCGATTAAAAGCCTGATCAAAGTTTCTTATCACATGGCAACAATGTGGCATCTTGTCATTGCGGAGACAACCTGCCATGTTGAGCGAGCTATATAGAACATTCGGAGGGTATTATGTAGTGGTGTTGACGGCAAACCGCCTATCAAAAAATAGGAGGTTAGATAGGTCATATTATATTACATGTCTGTATTACAATTAAGAATTTCTCTGTGAATGCAGGCACGGGATAAATTGGATTCCCACAAACAACAAAAACCGAGTATAGCCTCTCTAAAATTTTACACTGATTCCCATTAAATTATCCCGGAAATCCCTTTATAAAAGTCAAAGCCAAACTCTACAACTTCGACCTTCCAACCTTCACCAACGCCCCGTCTTTAACCTCATACTCCTTTCCCCTAACCCACCCACACCAATCCGCCAACATCATCTCCCCACCCTTACTGGGGCTCAATCCATCACTCGACCAACCGCCCTCCTCATTCGTAAATCCCAGACCTGGGGTCTCCGACAATCCCACCGCTAAGCGCTGCTCATACCCGCCCTCTTCTAACTCCTCATTTTCTAGCACTGGGGTAGCACATGCATCGGTCCCGTCAAAGATACTCTCCCACTCCCTTCGCGTCCTCTCCTTGAACCTCCTTGTAAACACGTCACGCATATACGGCCAGGTGCTAGGATCCTCACGTAATCCACTAGAGCCCGGTGGCAAGATATCCTCCAACTTCAAGCTTAATCCTTTCAGCAGCGCCGCAAAAAATTCCGACTCTAACGCGCCGACGGCAAAGTACTTGCCCACATCCTTCGTCTCGTAGGTGTCGTAGTAGGGACATCCGCCATCAAGAACGTTTTGACCGCGCGGGGAACCCCACATCGGCCTCTTCTGCAATAACCTTGGGAATGTAGCTAGGTAGGCTGACCCGTCTACCATATTTGCCTCGACCACCTGGCCCTTCCCCGTACGATGGCGCGAAAGCAGTGCAAGCAAGATGCCGAGGAAACACATGGCGCCCCCTCCCGCAAAGTCACCGACAATGTTGCCCGGTGGATAGGGCCGTTCACCGGCACGCCCCAGCAGGGCCAGCACGCCTGAGACGGCAATGTAATTGATATCATGGCCAGCCATGTCCTTGTACTTCCCATCACGGCGGAAGCCTGCCATGCGGGCGACGATGAGACGCGGGTTCCTTTTTAGGAGCATATCTGTGGGCGATAGGCCGAGTCTCTCGAGGACACCAGGCCGGAATGGGTCGATTAGGATATCTGCGTGGGAGATTAGGGAGAGAAGAAGGGCGAGCGATGCAGGAGATTTGAGGTCAATGCTTATGGAGGTTTTGTGTCGGGTTAGAGAGTCAGAGGTCTCAGGGGGAAGGGTGCCCGGGGGATTGGAATGTGCCTGTGGATGTGGGCGGTCGATGCGTAGGACGGAGGCGCCATAGTCGGCTAGGAGGAGGCCGGCAAAAGGAGCTGGTTGTGCCTTAGGTTAATAATGGACTTTGGCAAGGACATCAGTAAATAGCCAAACTTTTGGGCTTACTGGATTTGCATTGTCAACTGTGGCTTACCTGGGGCTAAACCAGCCAGTTCAAGGACTCGGATGTCTTTGAGAGGTGGTAATGGATCGGATGACATTCTGTTCGGCTCGAGCTGTATTGCACACGGCAATCTTGAAGGCGGTAGTAACAAAGGATGGCAGTGTCAGACATTCGATGACCGCATCGAATATTGGCGGAGGATAAGCAGTCCATTTATTCCGGTGAAGTATCCGCCAGCGTATTTAATCTTTCCGAGCTCCGGTCAATGGAGAGAAGTAGCCGAGGTGAGCGCGAAGGATATCACATGACCCCAGAACGCAGCAACATACGTTGTCAACAGAGACAGTAGGAAAAGGGAAGACAGTCAAGGCAGATATCGAGGCCCTCTTATATTCGGCACATGAAACCAGCAATGCATTGCTTAGGAAATGTTGTTGTTGCTCGGGATAACGAATGGATTTGCCCGGAGCGATGCTCGGCAACGGTCACAAAAGTGCTGAGTAATCACGAATAGCCGGCGGCAATTGCATCGATTTGCCGCTCGGTCTTGACACTGTCTTTTGAGCAGCCTCATCAACCCCAACCGCATCTGTTTTTGGATCTCTATGAACAGGAACAGGAAGCCTTGTGTTGATACGAGGCCTCCTGACAGGAGGTGACTACCAGGTGCATATCGATATCCCGAGTGGGGTTGTATATCGGATTATCCCCGAATCCAAGTGAGCGGAGGGCAATATATTGTGTGATCGTGCCATTTATTGGTCAGTATCCCAGGAGTTTCTATCTCTTCTACTTATAAAAATCCATGTCGAATCTGCTGTTGACTCGTATGCAGTTCATAAAAGAAAGAAAAACAAGCAACTCAACACATCCCTCTAAGTGTCGCTCTTGATATAGATTTCCCCAGTGAGACTGGGTGCAAGTGGGTGTCTCTTAACGTTTCATACATTCAATACAACATGTTGGAAACACCTTGGGTTTCTAATTACAGCATTTTAACCCTCATAAGGATGCAAAAATATAAGAGAATTTTAAATTCTCCAGATGTACTCTGCACATGGGAAAGAGATTATATTTATTCATCCATTGAACATTAGCTTGCTGTTCAATTACCGCTGTCCCTTTCCCTTCTAAAGTCGCTATCTGCCCGTTAGGCGGAAATGATTCGCCCTCTTCATTTTCTCATGGCACCTCGCTATGCGCAGGGCTGGTCGCTCTCCCCGAGAAAGTATGGATGGTCTGTGGTTCAGGGAGAATAGATAAACTGGTCCTCTTGCGCCTGCTGAGGGATACGGAATGTAGGCTCATTGAAGAGTCTAGCTGGATTGAAAATGTGTAAATATCTTCTTTTCAGCAAAGGGATATTGCCTTCATGTACTTTTGCTATTTACGCTATCGACTTGTGGTTGGAGATTATAGATTTGTCGTTGAATATCTATATATTTTGTTGTGGAATGTTGCTGTTTTGATCCCATTTTTGTGTGCCCGTGGCATCCCAAACAAGGAGGAAAAGAAACCGGATCATGTTGCGATTCGACTCGTACTATCTGCCTATTTATCGCGTAGTCTAGATCAACACGAGCACCTGAAATCATAAATATAGGCGACCATAACCTTTTCAGCAAAATTCTACCCAGCAGAAAAGACAAAAACGCCATGCTGTCAGTGACAATGCCATACAACTCCAATGCGAACACACAAAGTACGACAACAAACAAAGTTAATAACAGAGAAATAGTCAAATTACCCCAAATGAACAACTCTCACTCCCAACCACAAGCTCACCGATCCAAATAAAACCTTAGGAATCCCGGCCCCTTCCCCCTCTCCTCTGCACATATTTATATTTATACCCTTGCGGCGGTTGATTCTCCTTCCCAGGTCCGCTCGCCTTACCATCACCAGCACCCGCGGACGCCCCGACTTCCTTCTCGCCCCACGTCCACATCAAAACCTTCCCCATCCGTTCCCGATCCTTCAACAACCCTTCCACCCGCCCCTCCCACACCTCCTCCCTCTTCTTCAGGACGCCAGCAAATTTTTTATCAATAGCTTTGGCGGCTGAATCCTTCGCCTCAATAATCGATTCGAGGCGTTCCTGCTCAGTCACTAGCTCAGCAACACGCTGCTCCAGGGAAGCAATCGATGTGCGCAGCTGGCCAATATCTGAGTTGAGCTTGGCCTCGCGCGTCTGAGAGGTGGAGATGACGTTTTGGAGGGTGCGGATTGTTTCTGAGTGCGAGTCGCGGAGGGTGGAAAGGGCTGTGGCGTGGGCGGAATGCACGCTGTTCAGCTCTGATTGGTGGGATTTTAGGAGGGCGTCGTGGTCAACTGGACATTTTGGCGAGCCGATGTCAGTTGGTTGAAGAGCGGGGGATATAGGAGGACTGAGTTGTTGCGATTCGGTCACGTCCTGTTGGTTGCGGAGATTATCAACGGTGTATAGTGCCTTATCTCGCTCTTGAGTGGTTTTGTAGAGGGCATCTTGCAATTTGGTTTGTTCGGATATTATTGATTCAATCTTGGAAGATAGTCGAGATATCTCGCCTTGAAGCACTGTTGTGAGGGCTCTCGACTCGGAGAGCTCCTGGCGTGTGCCTTCAAGTTGAAGCGTCTGCATGCGGTCTGAAGGTAAAGAATTTCGTAGCTGTAATCGGACCTCGCTGAGTTCTCTTTCCAAGGCTCGAATGCGCTCGGAGCTTTTTGTCGCTTCGTTCAGGGACGCCACTCTCTTTGCATGGTACACTCCCTTAATCGCATCGAAAATTTGACTAAAGGTTATATTTACTCTGATATCGATAGATACCTCGTTTGCAAAAGTTTTCACCGCATTATATTGTGAATCGATTTCTGAATTTGCATTATCCAATTCGGACTGGAGAGTATTGTTTCGTAATTCGGATTCTCGGAGTGCATTGAGAAGACTCTCGCTCTTTTCTTCCAGAGCTTCACATTCACGACTTACGGTCTCAAGTTCAGAGTCTAACTTGTCGATTTCTAGATACTGGGCGTCTTGAGTGGCTCTCAGCTGGTCGATCTCTGCTGCATGTTGTTTCAGCTGAGCATCCTTGTTTGAAATGTCCTCACTAAGTTTTGTGGAAGCGGCGTTGTTTTCTTGCTTCGCTTGCACAGGAGGGTCTTCTTCATTCCTATTGGCGGAAGCACCTTTCCGAGAATCCTTGCTTTGCAGTTGCTCCAACTGTTGCTGGAGGGATTTTATTGTCAAAGCATCAGCTTCATGTTGTTCAAGTTGTTCATCTTTTTGCTGTAGCTGAATCCGTAAATTTTCTATTTCTTCGTATTGGCCAGCTAGAGCAGACAATTGCGCATCCTTCTCTTTAAGCGCGTCGTTTCTCTTCCTAAGCTCAGACTGCAGATGTTTAATTTGTTGAGCGGCTGACGCTGACTCCAAAATTTTCCTTCTATTCGCCTCGATAGTTTCGTCCTTCCTGAGTAATTCCTGCTGGAGCCGCTTTACCTCTTCGCGAAATCGATGTTCCAAAGTAGACTGCTCCTTTGGCTGGTCAGGATCCGCAAGTGTCAGGGCCTGTTTGCTGGCTGGCGATTGTATCGAGGAAGGCTCATCAATCTTGTCCAGGGGCGCGTTGATTCTCGAAATAACGTTTCGTCGTGGAAGAACATGTGCTGGTGTCGACATATCAAGAGGCGTGTCCATCTCACTGTAGTCATTTATCGTCTGCTCCGCAACGACTGTATTGTGGGGCACTTCTCCCTGCGTTTTCGCTGGTTCCATCTTTGACACGTTATCCCCGTCATTACCCATAAGGGCCCCTGTTCCTCTGACAAGCTCCACCATATTTAACGTAAAATCACGCGGACCCCCAAGTTCCGAAAATGCATCCCGTTTCTCTGAAAAAGCCCCTGCACGCGCCTCACGCACTTCACGCGATTCACCATCGCCGTAATCAGATTTATTATCTGAGAGTCTGCTCATATCGAATGTGTAATCTGCAAGATTGGCGTCTGAATCGCTTCCATCACTGGATTCTGGCGAACTGGTTTTCTTCGAGGACCTCAGCTTTCTTCGACGGGCAATATTTGCAGCCAAGGCGCGAGCCGAACTGGGCTTCTTAGCATGTAAAACTGAGTCCAATCCGGGAGGTGATGAGGGCATAAAGATGGGCGTATTGAGGGACGAAGCGCCCAGTGTGTCGTGAGATGTTGGAAACGGCGACGTGAAGCCGTTGGTAGCCATTTGGTGAGTCAAAGCCTTGATCCCGAACAATCTATTTGAGGAAATTGTTAGGCAATTGGAAATGATGTCTTATACCATAGTTGATCCTCCGAGCCTCGAAATTAGAAGGGCCTTGCAGATTTGCAGAATGTTGCTTGATGTCAAAATACTAAATCATGGAGCGGTAATCCAGACGTATTGTTTACTTTGTTCTATTTACGGCTTAGCTTTGGGGAATCGTCCGGTCCAATAATAATCCGATCGCGCATTCCGTGACGTCATGGTATAAAAGCGATGTTTACAGATTTACGAAGTTGCGCCTCCAAAGCAGGAATTGGACGAAAACGGGGCAATGACATAGTGAGTCGCGGGGAAGCGCCAGCATACGCCAGCGTTGGGCCAAGATATGGAGATAGATAGATTTCCAAGGTTTCTTCTTAAAATTGCTTAGGAATAAAGAATCTAGCGATATGGAGCAAGACAGACCGATAAAATTTGAAATCGTATGGGATTTCAAATGACGATATACTCTAAGTATTTAAATGTAATGTAGAGCTCGGACTGCGAAAGTATATTGACGTATCCCAAAGGTTGAGATCGCCTGGTGTGCTAACTTAACACATTGCCACGGCTTCATAGTTTCAATCACATATGTCATAGGTCATCTGAATGAGATGCCTCAGTCAAAGTACCTTAAGCTGTTGGGTTCCTTATATATTAAGCATTATCCGACATGCTAAGTTCCGACTATTGCCAAAGCAACCAATTCGTACATTTCATCGCATGAATCAAAGTCTGACTGACTTACACGATGGCCACCAACAACAGCTCGCATAAATGCCACTCCCACCGCAACCATCACCATCAAAAGGTGTACCCGAATTTTAGTTTAAAGAATAAAGTATACGTCGTAACTGGAGGTGGTCGGGGACTAGGGCTATGCATGGCAGAGGCAATGACTGAAGCCGGTGCTGAAGGTCTGTCCCCTGCAACATGAGCTTCACAAACAAAACCGGGGTCGATAAACGTAATAACATATCTCCTATCCCAGTGCACTGTCTTGATATACTGAAGGAACCCGCTCCTGAATTTGTTGAAACGCAAGAGCTAGCAGCTAGATCCCATGTTGGCTCGCTGCATTACCATCATACCGATGTGCGGGACACGAAATTCCTCAACGACACAGTTGTGAAAATCGCAGGGAGCCACCACAGGATCGACGGCCTTGTGGCTGCCGCGGGCATTCAACAGATCATGCCAGCAATCGATTATACAGCAGAGGATATCACACGGATAATGGACGTAAACTATACAGGAGTTTTCATGACCGCCCAAGCAGTGGCCAGACAAATGATTGCGTACAGAAACCACGGTTCCATCGTCCTAATTGCAAGCATGAGCGGCCTCATTGCAAACAGGGGCTTAATTTCGCCGGCATACAACGCTTCGAAAGCCGCGTTAATCCAACTGGCGAGAAGTCTTGCAATGGAATGGGGTCAGGAGGGAATCCGGGTCAATTCGCTCTCACCAGGCCACATTGTTACACCAATGGTAGAGAAGAATTTTGACGAAGTGCCTGGCCTCGACAAGATCTGGGAGAAGGAGAATATGCTTGGACGCCTGGCGCGGCCGGAGGAGTTCACGGGCGCGGCCATTTTTATGTTGAGCGAAGCCAGTTCTTTCATGACTGGGAGTAATTTAGTTATCGACGGAGGGCATACGGCTTGGTAAACTCGTGAACCCTTTTCCGATTGTTGTGGGAAAGTAATGGAATGTAATGACTTTTTATGTGTGAGGTATTTCAGCATTAGCGTATGGATGATGTATAGTTACCGATATCGTCTCTCCATGTTGTTTCCCTCCAATGGGTTGGTTTATACTCCGTCCGCCAAGGGAAAATTTCCGAGATATTTAAATAGTTGTATCTCGAGGAAGCAGAAAGCCCCAACTTATACCTGCGCACAACCCTACGTCCTTCATCATTTATTTCTTCATTTCGCACTGGTCTAGCATTTATTGCCAACAAACGTCAAGCCTGGATCTTGTACTCCACGTACCTCCCAAAGACAAATTTTTCTGGATAAACAAATAGCGAATACTCCGCACCATGGCCTCACTTCTTCCCACAGTCCACCTTCCTGTCCCCGTTCTCCTCCATGCCTTGGGCCTCTTCTCCCTCGGCATGTACTTAACCTTCACCAAGGTTCCTTCGGCACTAGGAATAGCCGTCACGGGCCTTGGATTGTCCTACCTCCTCACGTCTTACGTACCCATTGAACAAAATCAATTCCTCCACGCGAGTGTCCCGGTGCGCATCATACTGGCAACTTTAGCAGCTGCGCGGCTTCCGACTGCGCCACAAGCGGAACGCAAGAATCTGATAATCCTGATCTTGTATGACTTTCTTGGCGGAGTGATGGTGGGATATATTCTTGGGCAATGGAACGGGAGGCTCCCGGGGTATTGAGAGAGTGAAGGAGTTGCCAATACTGTGTTGGCTCAAGGGTGGTGTTTTTAGTGTGGATAAATATCATGGGGTTGGGACTCTAGCGTTGAATTCCGCACGACTTGACGAGAAAGTGGGATTTATCAATCTATGATTCTATGAAAATGGAGATTTTCTCGAATGTAATAATACCCACATGGTGATTTTCTGAGGGAAGTATGCTAATAAGAATAATTACTCTGTATAGTGATATAATTATCACGTTCACGCAAAATCAGCAAAAAGTGTTCAGCCATGTTAAGCCTTGGAGCCACTCTATTTTGAGCCCATCAAACTAATCCACTAACTAGTCCTCAACCGCAACGAAAAGGCCCAAATGTTGAACCCTAATTTTAAAGTTGGACCTCAATTGAAGGGTTTCCCGGCCGAAAGTATTCAGAGCTTCTTAGAGCTCCATGCAGACTGAAGGAAGCTTTATTGCTCTAAAATCAGATTCGCTTGACGATACATATACGACACCAAGGCCTGCGGCAGTCTTTCTCTCCTCCTAGTTTCTTTCGATTACGAGGCGCATTATCAGACAAGTACTTGGCCTCGATATCCCTAGTGTGAATCGTCAATAGTACGCGGAGAGAATTTCGAGCTTCACCAAATTTTATTAAAAGAAGAGTGCCATAATTCTTTTCGTAGTGTTGTCCAAATGCCTCCCCTCCCTGGATATGGGGCATTTGTTCAACCGCGCATTATCTGCTACCACCAAACTTATCACCCAAACAACGGCGGCAAATACATGTCAATGCTACCGCTGACTGTTAATAATACGGGAATAACACATGTGATTCTTGCTGCGATCCACCTCAATGATGGGCCAGGGAATATCACTCTGAACGACCACTCACCGGAGCATCCCCGGTTCACCTCCTTATGGACTGAAGCGGGCGTTATGCGAACCCGGGGGGTCAAAGTGATGGGAATGCTGGGCGGGGCTGCGCGTGGGACCTTCGAGCGTCTCGATCAAGACGCTGATATCTTCGAGCGGTATTACGTCCCTCTTCGAGATATGATCCGGAACCACCCCCTCGATGGTTTGGACCTTGACGTGGAGGAGGAGATGTCGCTGAGAGGCATTATCCGATTGATTGACCGTCTCAAGGCTGATTTCGGCGAACAATTCATCATCACGCTGGCCCCCGTTGCGACCGCCCTGATCGAGGGAATGAACCATTTGTCTGGATTTAATTACAAAGCGCTCGAGGCTGCTAGGGGCTCGAAGATTGCATGGTACAATACCCAATTTTACAATGGCTGGGGTACCATCGAAAATTTGGAAGTATATGACCGGATATTGTCAGAGGGATGGTCGCCACGGAAAGTTGTGGTAGGAATCTTGACTAATCCTGCAAACGGGTCGAGGGGTTATGTGCCCATGAACCGTTTAAGCGTTGTTCTGGGGATGTTAATGGTAAAGCATCCGACTTTTGGGGGAGTCATGGGGTGGGAATATTTCAATGCGTTGCCCGGAGATGTTCAACAGCCATGGCAGTGGGCGGCCTGTATGTCTTTACTAATGGGGATGAGAACTATATACTTGATGGTAGCTGCATGGAATAATCAACGGGCACACGCGAATTGAATTCATATACAAGTATATACAAATATATTTTTCGTCTTTTGCTCTACTCTTAGGACATCTACTAAAATGGTTTTTCAGTAGGACCACAAAATGAAATTGTTAGACACTCCTCGTCTGCAGCAAGACACAATCAAGTCCCCGACACAGGTCAATTCATGGGTGTGAGATGAAGACCACTGTTCATGTCCTATGGCTAGACGAGGGATAATTTGTACCTAGGCATTTCTATACGATTAGCACATCGTCGTTGCTGCCCATGGGAACATTCTTATCTATGGCGTCATTGAAAAAAGTTGAATACAAGCTCCCAGAGAGCTCGTAATATCCACTAGTTCATTGGATACTACTAATTGTCATACAAGGATTATCGCGATATTTGCAATTTATATGAGAATATAGATAGGATAGACAGCAAATCTCATAGCTATCTGACTGTGGAAGAGGAGCCCTGGTGATAACAGATCTACCGCTATTTTTACTTTCAAAGGTCGAATTCCTTCCATTGATATTAATAAATAAAAACATCCACAACATCAAAAAGAGCGAGCCACCAACACTCCGTTTGCAAATACACGCAACAACAAACTCACTTTCGGTGCAGGAGAGGGCGAAAAGCCGCACCTGCTTTCACCTCGCGAACCACTGTGACGCTATGCCTTCTATACAGACCACCCTAGCTACAACAAGTTCTATTTTAATGCGGCTTTCAGGTTATATATTTCTGAGATGGGTACGGCTGCATTTTATTTCGCCACATGGAACTGATCCCATTTTATCTTCTTGGGATCTTCTGCTAACAGTAAGAAAATAGATTCCAGGACACCAATTTCCACCACTAATTGTCACCTCGTTGCTGGTGTATTTGACCTCGGTCTTCGTCATTGTCTCAGGGCCTGCATTTAAACAAGTGCAGCAAAGGGATCGTTCGATAGCAAGCGCGCGAAAAGATACCAGAACGGCCAAAGGAAGCTTAAGTTCGGGTGAAAGTAGCGAAAGAAGCAGAAATGGGGGGGAAAGATCTTTATTATCCGTTCTTGCAACCGGTTTACCTTCCACACACGCGCCCTATGTCAATCTGGCGACTGTCGGGATAAACATATTAATAGCCCTTGGTACCCTTGATGCTGTTACCCGGGGCCAGTATATGTATCCAACTACCGAGTTGGCCTTTTCACGAGTCGGATATGTATCATCAACAACTGCCAACATCCTGATACGCGAGCCCGACGTTAAACAGCTTCCTATCCGTATATCGTACAGGGTGATAGAAAACGGCCGCGAGGGCGAGTCGTTTGAAGGGGGAGTAATATATGTTATCAACAATGACACCGATTACACTTTTCCTATTACTTTGACTGGACTTCAGCCTTCCAAGGAATATCAATACTCGCTCTCAAATAACATGTCCGGCAAATTTAATACCGCCGCGGCTCCTGGCTCCGCTGCAGCATATAGACTCAGTTTCCTAAGCTCGAGTTGCATGAAGGCAAACTTCCCTTACAACCCTCTAAACCACCCCTTGCGGATCTACGGCCTCGAGCTTATTTCCACGATTGTGTCAAAGCTTCCATCCTTCTCACGGCCGTCATTCATGCTCTTCCTAGGGGATTTTATCTATATTGACGTACCCTTCCGCTGGGGATCTTCCATCTCCCACTACCGCAGCGAATACCGCAAAGTCTACGCGTCTCCATCATGGTACACTGGTCCAGAACCCGCAATGAACATCCCTTGGATACATACCTTGGACGACCACGAAATCGCAAACGACTGGCATCTAGGAAACGAAACCGACCCCTATCCAGCAGCATTCGACACCTACCGCCATTACCACATGAGCGTTAACCCACCAACCGATAAATCTCCTTTCTCCGTCCCATTCAACACCACCTATTTCTCTTTCACGAACGGCCCCGCTTCCTTCTTCATGCTCGATACGCGCACATATCGCTCGGAACCTCTACGGGACAATTCCACAATGCTCGGTTCCGCACAGCTGAATTCCCTTCTTCACTGGATCTCCCGCGAAGAACCCACCGGCGTTCAGTGGAAAATAATCGCCAGTAGCGTCCCGTTTTCGAAAAACTGGCGCATCGGGACGGAGGATACATGGGGCGGGTTTCTGGGTGAACGCCGCCGGATCTTTGACGCTATCTGGCGGGCAGAGCGTGAATTGGGAGTCCGCGTCGTGCTTCTGAGTGGTGATAGACATGAATTTGGCGCGATAAGATTTCCCGACCCGTTCCTAGCGGGCACACCGGGGCAAAAAGGATCTGGGGCCGACAGTAGCCCTGAAGACGGAATGGGTATTCACGAATTTTGCACTGGTCCGCTGAATATGTTCCACGTCCCCGGTGGCATATTTTCGCAGTCTGACGATGAGGATGTCGTAATCAAATACCTGCCCGCGGGTAATAACAAGGTGGGTATAGTTAACATCGACGTTGAGGACGGTAGGAACTCGGTGTTAAGGTATTCTTTATATATCGGCGAGGAGCTAGTGTGGGAATATAAACTAACTACGCCCTTGAAGTTGGAGGGAGCGAAGAGTCGGGTGTTGCCGCCTGGGCAAGTGGTGTTTGATAAGCCTGAAGGCGTTAGCGTCGTGGGTAAAATGAAGTGTGTTTTCGGCGAAGCTCAGGTATTGGTGAAGTCCCTGATAAAATCAGTTACGGGTATGGTCAAGCGGCTGGTGCTGCTGTTGGTGAAGAAGGAGGTTGTGCCAAAGGGGTAGAAGAGGCTGGAAACAGATTAGAGAGCACCGGCGTTTACAACCGATTTTCCCCGGCTAGGTGTATATCTTTGGTGTTTCTTATTTATTATAACTATAGAATTATCGGCGTACTTAAGACAGTTGCCTCTTCAATCACCGCTCAGGTGGTTGTTGATGGTGATGGTTGCTCGAGGGGATGATATCTCTTTGAAACGCAACTCGCGGAGCGTTGCTTGTTGTATTACAACTCTTTTTTCACAAAATCAAGGTTATAAGCAAAGCTAAGAGGGCGTTCGAGAGTCGGAATAAATATCTATAAAATAGTATGTATTCCGTATTCATATTAGCATAACCCACCAAGACATACATACACAAAAATGGGGGAAGGAATTGAAAGACAAGAATTGAAGGTCGCTCCGTTAACGCCTTTCTATGTGATATGCATCATGCCGTCTTGTAGAAGGTACATCCTGACGAAAGAAATTGAAAAGTCAAAAATGAAACCCAGATGAGTAGTCAATGAGAAACCTCAACACGGATGAGACGATTATCTCCCCCTCCCTCTTCCACTCCCGGTTGCAGCTCCACCACCTCCCAGCAGCCCACTCATCTGGCTCATCATGCTCTGCATGTCCATGCCTCCTAACCCCGGCACTCCACCCGCACCCCCACCGCCACCCAACATCTGCATCATCTTCGCCATATCACCCATACCCATCCCGCCCGCACCGCCCATAGCCGCCATACGTTTCTGCATAGCAGCCATCTGCTGCTCCTTATTACCGCCCTTGAGCATATTCTGCGCACGCTGCATCTGCTTCTTCTGCCCGCCAACCCTCTTCGCCATCCCAGCCATCATCTTGTGTTGGGAGAGAAGGTCTTCGACTTCGCGAACAGTGGTTCCGCTGCCACATGCCACGCGCACGATGCGGGAAGGTTGGTCGACGAATACTTTACCGTCACCATCGAGCTCGGCGGCGGTCATGCTGTCGAAGATGTAGATCATGCGGCGGAGTTTGAGGGAGCCGTCTTCGTCGTCGAGACCGGATGTGATGTTTGATAGGCCTGGTATCATGCTGGAGATCTTGGAGAGAGGTCCCATCTTCATGATGGAGGTGATGTTCTCGCGGAAATCGCGCAGCGTGAATATGCCGGCTGAGATGTGTTTGTAGGTTTCTTTGGCGGTTGCGGAGTCCTTCGTTACGGCCTGGACGTGTTCGACTAAACTAGCCATATCGCCCATGCCCAGGAGTTTTTGGATGAATGGTTTTGGAGAAAATCGTTCGAGATCTAGCATGTGCTCACCTGTGCCCAGGAATATAATGGGGGTGTGGGTTGCAGCGACTGCGGAGATCGCGCCTCCACCAGCGGCGTTGCCGTCAGTTTTGGTGATAATTATAGCACCGAAATCTGCTGCTGCTTTGAACGCGGCGGATTGCGATTCCGCGGCTTGTCCGATGGTGCCGTCAAGAACCAAGATGGTTTGATCCGGTTTTATGGCGGTTTGAATTTGTGTCATTTCTACAAACAGATCTTCTTCCTGCTTATGTCTACCACTTGTATCGACAATGATGATATCAAAACGCTCCTTCTTGAACTTCGCCACTCCCTCTGCGGCAACCACAGCGGGATCTGTCTGTGTCAGGCTGCCAAAGTACGGAATTTTTGCCTTGGTCGCGTTCTGCTTGAGCTGATCGAAGGCACCGGCACGGAAGGTATCTGCACAAACAAGAGCGGCTCTAAAACCACGAGTCTGATAATGCCTAGCCAGCTTCGTGCATGTTGTGGTCTTACCCGCACCCTGTAGGCCAACAAACATGATCACGTTCGACCTCCCTTTTTTTGGCTTGAAGGGCTCCGCATGGGGATCCACCAGAGCCACCAGCTGATCAAATACAGTTTTTTGTATTAAGCGTTTCTTATTTACAGCTGGTGGGAGGGAAGAGAATGGCACAGCGGCTTTTATGGATTTGCGGAGGGACTGGACGAGGCGAACGTTGACGTCGGCTGATAGGAGGGCGGCACATATCTCTTTGATCATCGCATCAAATGCCTGTGGGGTAGAGTCAGAAAATAAGTTCATGTCAAAAAAGCATATATGAATTAGTTATGTAAAATAGTAGGTGAGTACCTGTGCGTCGACATTGTTTGACCTTGTTAGGTCGTTGACGGCGGCGTTAATGCGCCGTCCCAGGTCTTGAAGGACCATCGCGGGGAAGACCTGAAGAGAGGATGAGGGATAAAGACTGGCGGGTCCGGCAAGGGATAAAGCATAGAGCTGAAATATCGACTATAGGGAATTTCGGCAACGCAGTCCAAACCCCGATTTGTCCCCCGTAAGACAAACGATACTTCGTTTCTCTGAGTATATTGAAGCTGTCACGGCGCTGTAGATGGTTGAGTTTCATTGCGCCAGCGGAAATTCGATGGGTTGAATGTGGACTTAAGTCATGTGACCTTGCAATCGACGTAATTTTTATTTTCCTCCGAAAATATTCTTGACACTCCGTAAAAAGTACTTTCCAACTTCTCCCATTCCAAAGAGACATACAAATAAATAAATGGCGCCTCCGTCATTTAAGAAGCGGAAGGTCGAAGATGGAATGAACGGCAGAACCGCGAGACCAAAAAAGAAGTTCAAGAAACAGCGGATATACCACAGCAGCTCGGAAGATGAAGGAAACGATTCAGACCGTAACGATGAAGGGTTTACCGCAGTCAATCTGCAAGACTCTGATAGTGAGAAGGAAGAGCACTTAAGCAAAGAGAACCAGAAGCAAAATGTTTTTGCGGATTCGGATGATGAAGAGCCAATTGCTACGGCCACAGCTGAGAGATCGCACCCACTACCCGACGAAGTTGCATCCTCAGAATCAGATTCGTACGCTGCATCTTCTGCCGCCTCGGCCTCCGGCTCCAACATAGACTCGGACGATTCTCTTTCCGGCACAGACCAGTCAAGAAGCACCCGCCGTAGGAAGCTTTCCAAACGAAACGACCCCACCGCCTTCTCAACCTCCATCTCCAAAATCCTCTCGACAAAACTACCCACCGCCGCCCGCGCAGACCCTTTACTCTCGCGAAGCAGATCGACAGCGGAAACTACTTCACAGCTCGCAGATAAAAAGCTCGAGAGCCGCGCGCTTGCGAAACTGCGGGCTGAGAAACGGGAAGTGCTGGAACGTGGGCGGATACGAGATGTCCTGGGGGTGGAAAGGGGGGAGGCTGGCGAAACTGCGGAACAGGAGAAGCGACTGCGGAAGATTGCTCAACGCGGTGTGATTAAGCTGTTCAATGCAATGAGGGCGGCGCAGGTGCGAGGAGAGGAGCTCGCGAAGGAGGAGAGGAGGAAGAGGGGTATTGTTGGCATGGCAGAGCGGGAGAAAGCAGTCAATGAGGTTAGCAAGCAGGTGTTTCTAGATTTGATTAATGGGAAAGGGGGGAAGGGCTTGAATATCGAAGAGGCATGAGACATGGATATCCTTTTTTTGTTCATATCTTCTCCGTTATATTTCTGTATGCATTTTTTCATTTGACCTGTGCGGGTATAAAAATGGGCGTTATTGGGGTTTTCACTAAAGAAATGTTGGTGGTGCGATGTCTATCGGGAATATATAATACAAATGTCGCAAGTATCGAGTATACACACGGCGACGGTCAATCATACGACACAAGAAAAAAGAAGATCCACCATGATCTGTTCCAGTCTTTTGTCACGTTTAGCGGAGATGGCTTGTCACGGATGTCCGAAATCCAGTACTAAACCAAGAAATGAATAAGACAAAATGGGAAAATGAACGCCCAACATTTCATGACTTGAGTGAATATAGGCTGCCAATTTCGCGGTCCAATTCGCATAAAATCATCAGCGCTATTTCTTCTCAAAATCGCTTGCTTGCAAATTTCGCGTCATGCTCGGCAGTCGTACAACGAGTCCATCCAACTCCGGGCTCATCTTCACTTGGCATCCCAGCCGCGAAGTCTCCGTCAAGCCAAAGGCAAGGTCGAGCATGTCATTCTCGTCGTCGTCAGGTTCTTCCAGCTTATCATACATGTCGGGATCTTCCACGATAACATGGCAGGTTGAGCACGCGCATGATCCACCGCAGGCACCTACGGGTATAAGTTTATATTAGCCCGGCATCCATATGGAAATGAAGTTGAAAAAAATCTAATATTCAATAGAAGTTGCATATTGCGGCGGGAGAAAAAAATGATTTATACCTTCCATTTCTAGATCATTCGCCTGGGCGATATCAAGCAGGTTGTCTCCCTTGGCCACCTTGAAATGGTGTTTCTCACCGTCCTTGTCAATGAAGGTCACATTGAGCCTGGCAGAAGCACGATTGTTAGTTTCTTTGGAACTTATACTGAAAGGGCGTATCCGTTAATATGAAATATTCTGAGCACTCACTCCTCTCCTTGTTTGGGAGGATCAATATGTCCATGCGATGCCACCGCAGTGACTGAAAATCTCCGCCGTGCCCGGAGAGCATTTTGCGGACATTGCGCATTTAATCCACCCCTCCGTAGATTCAGTGATCTGACGTATCCTAAGTGTCTGTGGGCCGCGCTATTGAAGGATCTTGGGACCGAAGTCATAGAGGCATTCCAGCATGTTGGCGGTTGCTGAACGAGTGGTCTGTAGTCCTTGAGGAAATGTGATGCGGTGATTCGTAACTGGCGGGTAATACCGTTGCATATCGACATGGCTCTGGAAGGGAGACGAGTAAGAAACGAATATTTCCCTTTTCTAATCGATTCTTAGAACAATATTGACATAGAATAAAATGGCGTTCGGGGGATATCTTTCTGTGCGGCAACACTGATGCCGCTGGAAGTTCTGCATTGACGGCATCAATGTTTTAAGCCGCCTACACGGCAAAAAAAAAACAAAAATTGCTGGAAAACTAAAAAAGGAGCAACATCGTCATCATCACCATCAACGGCAATATCGAATCTTTGAGAATACCCCTACAAACGCCAACCACTATAGATACCACATAAATAAGTGACAGGCCGGTATTGCGCCAATTTAACTGGGACAATAAATAACACGCACTCCGCAGCTCATCATGGGCTCGTCCTCTGAAGGACCAAACCCACTCCGTCCGTACTATGTTCCACCCTCCATCGGTCTGCCCAAGTCTCCCCCCAACACCGTTTCTGGACCGCCAGTTTCCAGCGCGCTCGTTAACAAGGCGAATATTAGAAATTCGGCGCGGGAGATCTTCTCGGAATTTGACTACTCGGAGTACCTGGGGGAGTCATCCCCGACGATATCAGACTCCGTCAAGGAGCTGGTGGAAAAGGCGCTATGGAGGTACAGCAGCGTGTTGACAGCCCAACCGTTCGAGGTTGCAAAGACTATTTTGCAGGTATATGTTGCGCATCCTGCGCACGCAGGTATGGTCGATAGACACGATAAGCAGAGGCGTGATCGAGGGTACCGGGACAATTACTACGAGGAGGTATGTATGGTCTTGTTTGACAAGAACGTTTATACATCAACATACGTCGGAAGACTAACGTGAGATATGATATAGGACTCCGCGCCCTCGTCCGATGACGAGAGCAGCTATTTTACATCAGATGCTGCTGGGACGCCTACTCCATCCTCCCGAAACCGCGGTCCCCGGCGTCGTATCACCGATAGGGCGGGCTATATACCACCAGCCTCTGGTTCCGTTACTAAAAACACACTCAAAATCAAGGATACCTCAGCGCTATTTGACGTACTGGCTCAACTATGGGGCAATAGTGGCCCTACCTCCCTATGGAAAGCGACGAACTCATCATTCGTGTATTCCCTACTTCTCCCGACCCTCAATACTTTTATCCGGAGTCTTCTATCTGCGATCCTCGCTTTTCCAGATGAAGGCCTCTCTTCTCTTGCCGAGCCTGATATCCTCACATCCTCGTCCCCCGGCTCGTCTTTACTGCTAACCTGCATTTCCTCTGCGCTCTCTGCTATTCTCCTCTCCCCCATCGATACAACTCGCACATATCTTATTCTCACCCCACCAAACCAGGGGCCACGATCACTCCTTCGTGCTATCCGTCTCCTTCCTACCCCCAACTACCTAATACCACCTCATCTCCTCCCAATTACAATTCTAAATTCGACGCTTCCCACCTTCCTAACCAGCGCCACCCCGCTTGTCCTCAAATCTTACCTCTCCCTCGACCCCGTCCTCAACCCCTCATCGTGGAGCATCTTCACTTTTTTCGCATCATGCCTGGACCTAGCCGTCCGCTTCCCCCTCGAAACCGTGCTCCGCCGTGCGCAAATAGCCACATTCACCTCACCAGCCCTACGCCAACAGGGCAGCCTTCTCCCAAGCCCAAGCCCAACTTCCACAACAACGCCGCCTCTGCTCCCCGCCAAAAGAAAATCATCCACACCCTTAGCGGTCGTTGAAACCATCGTCCCCACCCCACAATCCTACCGCGGCATCATCGGCACGATGTGGACCATAGTTTATGAAGAAGGCACAAACCCACACACCCTTGAGCTCGAGCAGGTATATGCCCACCACGGCGCAGAGCAGTCATCACGGACGTCATCAGCGCAGGGAACGGTGGCAAGCCGACGCACACAGAAGCAGCGGCAGGGGCAGGGCGTGCAGGGCCTGTATCGCGGCTGGCGCCTAGGGATGTGGGCCCTCGTTGGCGTGTGGGGCTCTGGCATTTTGGGTGCGGTACTGGGGATGAGGGATGATGAAATGGAAACGGGTCCTGGAGGTTCTAGGCTGGCGTTGGAGTCTATGGGTGGAAGGGTGGGGAGTGTGTCTACCAAGGGCGCATTTTGATTCGACAATTTGGGCAAACTATATACTTCATTGCTTAGTTGCTCCTGAATGTTGTTGCTACGTCCATGCCATCCCGCGTCCAGCCTTTGTATCGTCATCGTCTTATCGTATCTCCTTATTTCCCTTCTTGATAGCCTTCATACCCATCAACCCCATACGCCTTCCTCCCACTCGACCTTTCGAAACAGGAAAATGAAAAAAAGACTGGGTCTATATAAGTGCTAAGTCGGACATTATATGTCGAGCCCTGTTTTTATACCTTCATTTCCTATCTCTGTTCGAATAAGACTTCTCTTCTCTCTACTCCCTTTCCCCAGATCTACATCCCTCCAATAGCACGAATACATTTGCGCTTGTCGAGTCTAAGGAATAACACTCCTCCCTCCGCCTTTTTGCCGGTATACGTACGTATCTGTGTACATGTATTATTATCTACGCCAGTGTTTTATTTCCTATCATTTTCTATTTTAATGTTTTATTCATCAGACCAACGACTTATTCTCAAAGATGATTTAACTTAAATTTCACGCCCTTTCCTCTATCCTTTTCTCTCGTCCCGTCCTTGCCTCTTAACGACGAGTCTAACTTGCCTCTCCATCGAATGAATTTGATTTTATACTTCTGATATATTTATCAACTATGTGGGGGTTATTACAGGGAAAATATTTTATAATATTTTTCATCTATGATACTTCTCTTCGAACACTTGTACAACACATATTGGGATACAAAAGGGGCAAAACAAAGGGGAAAGCAAAGGGGAAAGCAAAGACGTAAACTCATCAACATTGTCATTATCCAAGAAGAAAGAAACAAAACAAAACAAAAACAAAGATAAGAAAGAAAACAATAAAAACAAAATGGAAAGAAAAGCGATATAGGCGGTGGGGTAAAGCGGAAAAGGGGGCACATTGTTTGAAAGTGACATAGATGGTTACAGCACCAGGAAGAGAAGAGAAAATAAGAAAAAGGAAAAGGGAATAAAAAGAGGGGATAAAAAGACAATAGGAATTCAGTTGCCTCATATCTTTTTTGACGCTGGGTTTGCACCTCGCTTTTTCTTATGTAAAATACACAGATTCCGGCTTGGTTGCGGACATCCTAAACGAACAAATGTAGAATGAAACTGAAGAATTTGACGTTGTCCAGGATTATATGGTATGAACTGTGTTCATGCATACCCTAAGCGTCTCTTTAAATCAAATATCAACAATAATTAAAAATGAGAACTAGAAAAAAGAGGTTAGAAGAGCGCCTGTACGCAAGCTTACTGCTAATATAGTTGTTATAACCTAGTCGGCAAATCTCCGATCGAAATACTTCAACACACCCATTACACTCGCCGCTTCGACCTCCATCGCCGGCCGGTTGCCATAATCTGTGAGTGGCGGATCACGTGGAGTAGGTAGAGTGTGCAGGCGCGGTAGCCAGGTGTTTAAGTCGTCCGTGGCACGAGAGAAATTTGGATGGCGCGAAAGCGCAGTGTAGGTATCTGCGCAGGAGAGGCTGATGGGTTGACGTTGAGTTGATGACGTTGATGACGACGGCGTGTTCATTTCGTGGGATTGGCAACATCCGCCACGCGAGTTGCCACCTCCACAACAACCTGAGCTTGTCGTAGTGGCAGCGGCGCTGGTGGCACGAGATGCAGCGAGGCTTTTACAGAAGAGTGTGCTCTTTGGATCAGCCTTGCATTGCGCGCAGGTTCCAGGTCCGTTGATGCATGGATTAGCCTTCTTTGGGTTTGAATGAAGGGGTTCAGAGAGAACATCGCCTTCAGAAGGAGGGGGGGTAAATTGTGACAGGTTTCTGATTGTTAATCTATTGTGTAGCTTAATAGGTGTCGAGTTGTTTTCTTCCTCTGCGACCATCTCCGCACACACGCACGGGGTGCCATCCTGGCAGAAGCCGCATGGGTCTATGACTCTAGAGGGAGACACCGACGTCTCACTAGTTCGAATAGTACGATCGCGGTTTGTAGAGAACAGGGCTGTAAAATCAGTTTCCAATTCCTCTGGTTCTGGCTTGATTATAATATCTGGCCTGTGTCGCTTCGATGCACTTGTTTGGTTAGGAGAGTGTGATCTTTTAGAGGGAGATTCATCCTGCTGAGCAGCGGGAGGATTGGAGAAGCGAAAGGCCTCCTCAACACACTGACACCGTGTTGCGGAGCAGTTCTCACAGGCAGATACCATCTCTGGAATTCCAGATGCTTGCTCTGCCAGCTTAACCCTTCGCATCAAATCGTCCTTTGCATGTTTCTCTATAGCAAGATTGTTCTCTAGCATCTGGCATTGTTTCTTCCACCATGATATATCAACCTTGCATTGTTCCAGCTCACACGAAATAACGTCAATGCGTTCCTTCAAAGCAGCTGATTGTCGCTCATTCTCTTCTTCAATTTGCCTGAGTTGCTCTTCTAGCTCTCCAACCCTAGCAGCTCTTCTTTCCCGAAAAGCTCTCTGAGCAGCGCGATTTTGGGCCTTCCGTTTTGTTGGCGGGGTATCAGTAGCTGGCTTGCGACCAGGCTTAGGTCGAGGCGGTATGACCCATTCCTTAGATGTGATAGACGTGGGTTTGAGGGTCGCAGGCGTAGGCGTGTCATCAGCAGCCAGAGATGGTTGGCGAGACGGTACGGCTGGGGCAAGTGGAGCAGGAGAGGGCATCGAAATCGACGAAGGAGTCGAAACAGTGGATGAGGACAGCATGGCAACGTTCTATGATGCGGAGTTCTATGATGTGCTATTGTACATGGATGTACATGTACGGTGGGATAGTTGTCGTGGATTATCGGTCGGCTTGCCTGAGATACTATCTCTGTGACGCTTTAAATTGCTTGGACGTCATGGACCAGGCGTTAAGCAGTCGACAGTAATCAAGATTCAATTGAAGAACCATGGAAACAAAAGCAAAAGTAAAAACGAAAAAGAAAAAAAAATCAGAATGTCGAAGCCAGGTACGTCGAGTGAGTGTTGGGACAAATTTGGAATCGCGGGGATTCGGAAGATCAGATTAGATTATCGTGCGATAATCACGTGCTCACGACATCTTGGCAGAGTTATCTGATCGCCAAGGCCGGCTTATCGTTCACTACGACGACATCGACGAAGACATATGTGTATACCGTGGATCCCATGTATACCAACTTAACCTGGAGAACCTCGGATATGAACTTGTTATCCTGTTGCCTGGAACTCCTATCACAATCACAGATGGGTTAGATACGGACTATTGGAACAAAGCGGGCAGGGATCGCTGCGAATACGCTCCAATTAGCTCACATTGGCGTCCGCTAAAGCAATCTAAATCCTCCCCGAGTCCGAGGTCTGCGAAGGAATTGTTCGTTCGGTTACGTAAAAGCTTGATAGTCTGCAAGAGTGGAAGTGTTCACAAATACGCAGAGACTTCCTCCGTGTACACCGGCCTATTGTTCCACTCCCGTCATTTTGAAATGACGTTGAAGATTCCCACGTTTGCGCAGCGCAATATTGAATACGAGAATCGAATCCACGAGTCAGAGCTTGGAGATCGGAATTTGTAAAAACTATATAAGGATACCCATTCCCCTGCCTCCTCAAGCAGCTCCTTCGTGACTCAATCTACCTCAGACTACATAACCAAATCAGAGCAGCTCATCATGTCACCAAGCCCTCTTGTCGCCAGCCAAAAGGTTCTTGACCTTCTCCAGAGGCTTCATGCGGCTTCTATAGCTCAAGAACGGAGCATTTCCACCATTTTCTGGTTCCTGACCAGAAAAGTTCGCACTCTTTTCACGAACCAGAGATGGTCATCTCTGGATGATAATTTTACCAAGGATAAATTCGTTGCCCTGGAGGTTGACAAAAGCGAATTTGTCTACCTCCTTGCACGGACTACCGGTGCGACTACTATAGTGGAGGCGGGTACAAGTTTCGGTGTTTCCACTATTTACTTGGCTCTGGCTGCTGGGCAAAATGCCACTGCACTCTCTCCATCTCCCGATACACCTGGACAGGGGGCTAAGGTGATTGCTACAGAGAAAGAGCCCGAGAAGGCCAAACGCGCTCGGGAACATTGGAAGGAGGCGGGGCCTGAGGTTGAGCCATGGATCACTCTGTTGGAGGGGGATTTGAACAACACTCTCCCTACCGAGTGAATAGGGGGAAGAGGTGAC